ACCAAACAGTCCAAACAGTTGACGGTAGCCATTGACTTCTATAGTATGGGTGGGGGGGGGAACTGTTTAGTCAAAATATCGACAGACAGACGACAGAGACAGACAACAGATGACAGAGACACAGAAGACAGACAGACGACAGAGAGACAGACGACAGAGAGACAGACGACAGATAGACAGACGACAGAGAGAGAGACGTCAGAGAGACAGACGACAGAGAGACAGACAGACGAGAGAGACAGACGACAGAGACAGAAGACAGATAGACAGACGACAGAGAGAGAGACGTCAGAGAGACAGACGACAGAGAGACAGACAGACGAGAGAGACAGACGACAGAGACAGAAGACAGATAGACAGACGACAGAGAGATAGACGTCAGAGAGACAGACGACAGAGAGACAGACAGACGAGAGAGACAGACGACAGAGACAGAAGACAGATAGACAGACGACAGAGAGATAGACGTCAGAGAGACAGACGACAGAGAGACAGACGACAGAGAGATAGACGACAGAGAGACAGACGTCAGACAGACGACAGAGACAGACAGACGACAGATGACAGAGACACAGACGACAGAGAGACAGACGACAGATAGACAGACGACAGAGAGATAGACGTCAGAGAGACAGACGACAGAGAGACAGACGACAGAGAGATAGACGACAGAGAGACAGACGTCAGACAGACGACAGAGACAGACAGACGACAGATGACAGAGACACAGACGACAGAGAGACAGACGACAGACAGAGAGACAGACGGCAGACAGACGACAGAGAGACAGATGACAGACAGACAGACAGACGACAGACAGACAGACAGGTCAGTGACGAGGTTAAAAGTGTCTTTTTAACAGATGACATTGGTCTGATTTTAGATCTTAACTAGTTTCTCAGCCATTAGACAGGCAAACCTGTATATCATTAAGATGATTTAATTAATCAAATCAATGTTAACCCTTGTGTGTCCATTTAAAAAAAATGACACAGAGGTCCTTAGAGGATAGAACAGTCATCAAAATATTATACATTAATATATATTAATATTTTTCCACTTTCACTTACATAGATTTTTTTAACCAACATCAGTTCTGATCACACCTACCAAAATTTCATGAATTTTCAAGATTTTAACCCTGTAAGTGCCAGTTTGTTTACATAATGCCCGTGTTGTTTTTTCATGAAAAAAACACAGAAAAAATAATTTTGCATGTACTAAATACTACACAGAAGTTTGTTCTGGATTATTACAGTCTAGGATAAGTCAATGATTAGAAACAATATTAATTTTGATGCATTATTTTTTCTGACTTTTACCAATCACACAAACAACACCCTGATATATATACCAACAATTATAATTACATCATTTCAATTACATTTTTAAGCAGAAGCAGAAAACAGAAGAAAATCAAGTATTTGCTCCATAGGACAAACGTCAAACCAAACCAAAATAGTAAAAATTTAAAAATGGTAAAAATGTTGAAGCCTTGTCAACAGAATGGAAGCCTATTAACAAAGAAAGCATGATGTTATGCCAACATGGCACATTCAAAACACAATACTGCATTTTATTGGATGTTTTTGCCCCCGAAGGTCCGGAGTGTCACTATTTTTGTACCTAGCGTAAAAGAGATTTATGAACAGAAAAATACTAGTAATTTTATGGTCTTTGCATCAACACAAAACGAAATGTCCCCAAGGACGCTGACATGCCTGTAGTTGATGTTGCGTCGCGAGCTGACATCCCAGCTCTGGATGGCCGCCCACATTTTATCCATGACGTGTGTCCTCTTGGGCTCCTCCATGGTCCAGACCTCCGGCCCGTCGAACATGATGTGTGACAGGACTCCGCAGGCGTTATAGGACACCTCGATGCCATCCGCTTTACTGTCCAGCAACTCACTGCGAGCAGAGTCGTGGCGTTAGACACTCACACAGCAAACACTGAGCCAATGAGGTGCAGAGAAACACTTCACACCTGAACACCGTGATGAACTGCTTGGTCAGCAGCTGCGGCCTCAGCGCCTTCACTTCAGCCACATTACCCAGCAGCCCCAGCATGTTCCGGTGCAACTCCTGCTTATCAGGAAACTCCTGCGAGAGAGCAGAAACCAAACGCATGAGGGAGGAGCAGAGATTCTGCTGACAATCATTCATTATTCAGGCTGCGTTTGGGACGGCCGTATACAATATATACACTAAAACTGTGATGAACAGACCTTCAGACAATCCAGGAAGAGATTCATGCCGTTACACTCCAGGAACATCTGACAGTTATCAGGTGTCTCGTCTGTGATGTTCCAGAGCGCGCTCCACGAGAACTCCATCACCTGATCACACTAAACACACACACACCAGCGTTAACTCTGACTAAAACCAGAAAAACATTCCCATTAGCAGAATCACATACAATTAAAAACATACATTACTTTTAAAAAAAAACCTGCGATAACATAAAATACATTAAAAAAAAATATATGTTTTCATGACTTGTAATAACATGTATAATAACAAATTAAATTAAATATAAAAAACTAAAACAATTTTTATTACTTTAAATAAAATTACTTGAAATTACATTTTTAAAAAGTACACTTATTTTATTTCCAAGGCAACATTTCTCATATTCATGTAATTTAAGTTGAAGTGCAAAATAACTAAACAAACAAAAACTAATAAAAATGACAAAAACACAATAAAACTACTGAAAGTTCAGTTAAAATTAAAATGAAAACAAAAATTTTAAATATGAACAAAACTATAATAGTATATCAGGGATACTGAAATAACACTAGCACAGGCGTCATGAACAGAATGAATCAGTGATGAGTCTGACTCACTGATGAATCAGTGAGGAGTCTGACTCACTGATGAATCAGTGAGGAGTCTGACTCACTGATGAATCAGTGAGGAGTCTGACTCACTGATGAATCAGTGAGGAGTCTGACTCACTAATGAATCAGTGAGGAGTCTGACTCACTAATGAATCAGTGATGAGTCTGACTCACTAATGAATCAGTGATGAGTGTTTCAGTAATAAATCAATGATGAGTCTGTTTCGGTAATGACTCACCATTCTGTCCTGCAGCTTCTTCTGGATCAGATTCAGCATCGTCTGTGACAAGAACCATTCGAACCATTAGATCAGTGTTTCTCAACCCTGGTCCTGGGCGCCCCCCAGCACTGCACATTTTGTGTGTCTCCCTAATCAAACACACCTGATTCAACTCATTAGCTCATTAAAAGAAACTCCAGGACCTGAAATGGGTGTCAGATAAGGGAGACATACAAAATGTGCAGTGTTGGGGGGGCGCTCAGGACTAGGGTTGAGAAACACTGCATTAGATGGACACAGATGCTATGCGTTACATGCTAACAGTCTAATGCTATTCCCCTTTTGAAAGCATTAATGAGAACTGCACTGATGGTATTAGACATATGAACACATATACAGAACACATCAAATACAGTAAACAGAAGCTCAAACACACCATACTGGTTCAGTGTTGAGAATAAAAGCCTAAATTATATGTTCATCATATAAAGCGATGAAATGTCTCTCCTCAGAAGACTTGGATTAAACTCCTCGATTCATATGGATTGCTTTTATGATGTTATTATAAGCTATTTTTGGAAGATTGAAAATCTTGACTATCAAGACTTTCAATGGATGGACAAAAATGATGAGGGAATATACAGAATGATAATTTTTGAGTGAACCATCGCTTCATAAATGCAGCACATTACAGATTACTGTCCAGAACCAGAGCGAACATCTCAACTTCACAAACACACAGAGCTCAATGAGCAGCACACAACCTTGACGAATCCCATCTTGCCGACGGCTTCTTTGTGGTCGTTGTCGACCTGACAGACGAGTGCGTTACACAGATGGACGGCGATGCGCTGGATGGACTCGTCCTGACGCACAGGCTCCAGGATCTTCAGCAGCAGCAGATTGACTCTGTGATACTGGAACTCCAGCTCCTCAGGAATACTGAAGTTACAGAGCGTCAGACAGCAGTTCCTCTGGACCTGCACACACACACACACACAGACAGTCTCAGTGACATGTATTTATCCTGCACTGCTGCCTCAGATCACAGAAGCCTGGTGTTTGGAACGGCCTTCATAGGTTCTGTCTGAGTGAGTGAGTGAGTGAGTGAGTGAGTGAGTGAGTGAGTGAGTGAGTGAGTGAGTGAGTGAGTGAGTGAGTGAGTGAGTGAGTGAGTGAGTGAGTGAGTGAGTGAGTGAGTGTGTGTGTGTGTGTGTGTGAGAGAGTGTGTGTGTGAGAGAGTGAGTGAGTGAGTGAGTGATTTTGTGTGTGTGTGTGTGTGTGTGTGTGAGAGAGAGAGAGAGCTTGTGTGTGTGTGTGTGTGAGAGAGAGAGAGAGAGTGTGTGTG